GGCCAAGGTGGGTGGATCACCTGAGGTCAGGAGTTTGAGACCAGACTGACCAATATAGTGAAACCTCATCTCTACTAAAAATACAGAATTAGCTGGGCGTGGTGGCGCATGCCTGTAATTCCAGCTCCGTAGGAGGCTGAGGCAGAAGAATCGCTTGAATTCAGGAGGTGGAGGTTGCAGTGAGTGAAGATGGTGCCATTGCACTCCAGCCTGGGCAACAAGAGCAAAACTCCATCTCAAAAATAAAAAAAATAAAATAAATCCCTCCTATGTGTGTGTGCGTAATAGTGTTATTGAAAAGATACCGCCAGGTGCAATGGCTCACGCCTGGAATCCCAGTCCTTTGGGAGGCTGAGGTGGGTGGATCACTTGAGGTCAGGAATTTGAGACCGTCCTGGCCAACATGGTAAAACCCCATCTCTACCAAAAATACAAAAAAGTAGCTGGGCGTGGTGGTGGTGGGCTTCTGTCATCTCAGCTACCCTGGAGGCTGAGGCAGAAGAATTGCTTGAACGAGGGAGGCGGAGGTTGCAATGTGCTAAGATCACGCCACTGCATTCCAGCCTGGCTGACAGAGTGAGACTCTGTCTAAAAAAAAGAGAAAAGGAAGGAAGGAAGGAAGGAAGGGAGGGAGGGAGGCAGACAGGGAAAGGAGGGAAGGAGGGAGGGATACTTTTCTGTTACTTTTACTTTCTAAGTACACATACATAGCTGGGTATCTATGTGTATTTCACATGGTGAAAAGTGAATAAAGAGGCCTCTATGAAAGACTGACAAAAAGAGGACAAAAGAGATTTGGTTGGGTTGTCTCTTCCCTCTCTCTTCTGCCTTCAGCTGTGCTGTGATACCATCTTGCAACCACGAGAGAGAAGCCAAGAAAATTGGGACGCATTAGTCCTGCCATTGATGAACTGCTGAAATAACAGGAATCACCTACCTCTAGAATTCTTGGTAAGTGGATATAAACTTCTGTTTGTCTGTGCCACTGTGGGTCAGGATTCTGTTACTTGAAGCTGAATGCATTCTTAACTGATACAATAAATAAAATAGGCAAAATGAGAAGACTTGTTGTTCATAGCATATGTGTTTTTTAATGTGGGAAAATTATCCTAGAGATGCAAAGTCCTCCAGCTTTGAAATAAGAACCTGTATAGCAACTACTTAAATTAAGTGCTTATTGCAATGGCCTTTTTAGTGTAACCTTTATTAAAAGCATAATTTGCTTAAATTCTTCACAACGCTTTAGATATCATTTACCTTTTTCACGTGTGAGCTAACTACAGCACAATGGGATAGGACCTGTTGTACAAATGATGGGATGCATTTTAATAGGGCTTTGAAAAGATTAAATGAGATCATCCATATGCAGAGTCTAGAACAGTACCTGGCACATAAAGTCCTCCATAATGTTTGTTACTATTATTATTATTACCTTTGAGACAGAATCTCACTCTGTAACCAGGCTGGAGTGCAGTGGCATGATCTCAGCTCACTGCAACCTCTGCCTCCTGGAGGCAGATTCTCCTTGCCTCCCGATTCTTCTTGCCTCAGCCTCCTGAGTAGCTGGGACTACAGGTACTTGCCACCACACCTGACAAATTTTTAATATTTTTAGTAAAGACGAGGTTTCACCATGTTGGCCAGGATGGTCTCGAACTCCTGACCTCAGGTGATCTGCCCGCCTCAGACTCCCAAAGTGCTAGGATTACAGGTGTGAGCCACTGCACCTGGCCGTTAATTATATTTTAATAACAATTTTAAATAATGATGTTAGCTATTAATACTTGATGGCTGGCTTCTTCTCATCTTTCACATTCTCAGAAGAAAATGTACTACATCAGAGAGGCCCTCCCCAGCTATTCTATCTAAAGTGAAATCCCTCCTCAAATATCTCCGATTCCCCACTGCCCGCATCCTGCTTATTGCTTCAGAGATTTTGTCACCATCTGTAATTCTTTTTATCATTTATTTAGTAAGTGTGTGTCTCCCTCGCTAGAACATGAATCCCACGAGAGCAGAATTCCCACTGGCTGGCATGGATCCCATAGTCTCTATGTATTTATTGAGTGAAAAGATGACCAAAGCCATCCAAGAAAGCGTGATAATAAGAGGATAATAAGCATGATAATAAGAGGTCTAGGTAGAAGGGGTATGCATATGTGGCCATTTTGGGGGCATAATTTTGTGCACATTTAAGTAAAAGTGGAGGTAAATAAAAATTCTGTCCCTTTCTAGACCCTTCTCACACTGTGAAGGGCCCTGATGGTTTTTTATTATCATGTTCAATCTAAAAGGTCAATGAATAGTCATTTATAATATTTGGCTTATACATCTCTACAAACTGTGGTGAAATTGTTACCTTTAGAAAAATAGTTTGCTTTGCACTTTAATAGCGATTTGAACATCGGATTAAATTTTTTTCTTTTTTCTTTTTTCTTTTTTTTTGAGACGGACTTGCTCCGTCGCCCAGGCTGGAGTGCAGTGGCACAATCTCGGCCCACCACAAGCTCCGCCTCCTGGGTTCACGCCATTCTCCTGCCTCAGCCTCCTGAGTAGCTTGGACTACAGGTGCCCGCCACCACACCTGGCCAATTTTTTGTATTTTTAGTAGAGACGGAGTTTCACCGTGTTAGCCAGGATGGTCTCGATCTCCTGACCTCGTGATCTGCCCACCTTGGCCTCCCAAAGTGCTGGGATTGCAGGCATTCTGATTAAAAAAAATTTTTTTTTTAAATGGCTTCTTGTAATCAAAGATTTAGATGAAATTCTTTATTATGTTTTGTTTTTTGAAGATCCTAAAATGTAGATTTTAAAATAGCTGTAGAAGTTCTGCTTGGTCCCAGGGGCAAAGGGAAAAGGAAAACAAAACTGTTTTAAATAGCAGTGATGAGCCCTGACACAGGGAAGCAAGTCTCAAACACATCAGGGTGACTGGTGAGGGCAGAGCCCTGACCTGGTAGGGAGGCAGGAGTATGGCCAGTGCCACGGTCTGTGGGAAGAGGCCCCACCCAACTACCTGGGTGTGGAATCCCATGGTGACCTGCAGGATTTTCGATGGGGGTCACAGGTCATGGACTCCTGATAACTGACATCATGGGAAGAACACCAGGAGACCTTTTTCTCTTTTCTCCTGCATCTTCCAGGACAACAGTATCTTGTAGGGACCAAGCAGTGGGCTTTGGCTACTTGAGTTTGAAGCCCATCTTCCCTTCTCACTAGAGACCTCTCTCGGGGCCTCTCTGGGCCTCGTTTACTCACTGTCAAAATAGCAGCTGAACCTATCCCATTGGGTAATGGCTAGCACTAGTAGATACCTGATAACTGTGACTTTTGTGGCCCTTCTTCTAGAAGATACCATGAAGTCTCTGTCAGTTATGACCAACAAGGTGGGGTTCTGTGGTATCATTTTCCTGGGCATCTCTATGGCCTGGGAATTTTGTGTTTTCTAATTTTGATGGATATGTGGCTAGAGCTGTGACAATCTCATGTGGATTATGCTTAGACGGTTCCAGAATTTCTGTGCAAAAGGGGCATACAGGTGGCCATCTTGGAAGAGGAGCTAGGGGCTGGTCTTGTGGTTGCACTTGATAGCCACTGTTCAGGTTTTAGGTGTTTATTTAGGGTGCTTTGGAGGATTATGGGAACATGTGGGCTAGTCTTTTGGTTATATTTGCATAGCAAGCCCCAATTTTTACTTGGATTGTATATTTATTTGGGGGTGTTTGAGGGCTTTGTACTAAAAACTGCATAGCAAGCACACGTGGACTGAATGTTGTGTGAAAAATTGGATGGAAATGCAGGTATTTGCAACTTTTCTACCCTCCTTGGGGCTCATCGCTCGCCTCTGGTGAGCTATATTGTATGATTAATTTGGGTGAGAATAATTTGATCTGGAAACTAGAATAGGAAGTGGATTTGGGGCCTGGATTACAGAATGAACTTGAAGTCCCATTTGCCCAGCTTCAGAGGGCACCATCGTTGATGCTGGTCACTTCCTCCCACCCTTCCTGGGAGCCACCCAGGAAGTGACCACGTAAGTGACAACACCTTGGGGGATAAGCCTAGGGGTGAAAGTCTAGGGAACCCACAGGACCTCAGAAATAAGCCACACTCCAACCCACTGAGTATGGACTCCCATCCCCACTCCCAATTATAGTGAATATTGTGAGTGATGGTCCACATATCCCGAGGTTTATTAGCTATTTGTATTTAAGTTGCATGCTTATATACTGTGCCCATTTTTCTGATGATATTGCTTATTAATTCATAAAAACTCTGCTTATTAAGTAAACCCTTTGTTAAATTTTTACCCAACCCAGGCCCTTCCCCCATTCAAATTTGAAGTGTGATTTTCATTTTTGTAGTCATCCCCAACCCCCTTAAGGCCTTTAGGTCTCAGGTTATGCTGCAGAGAGGCCCTTTATAAACCCAAGAGTTTAACTGTAAAATAGCCCCTTTAAAAAGTACCTCTTTTATTTAGATGTATGTGATCAACTTGTCAAATTCATTTTGGTGTGTGCAGTGAGGTAGGGATCCAGTCTAAATTTTCCCCAAATGGCTACACCGTTTCTTGAATAACCCCATTGATTTGAAACATGGCGCTCCTATATTTCTCCACATCATTTAGTCCCTATCTTATAGCAAAAAATACACTACTTTTCTTAGGAAGCCTGGGTCAGCAGGCAAACTGTGTGATGATGTAATGGCATAAGTTGGCAGAATCTTTGGATAGGATGGCAGTGATCAAAATGTAGAGGTGACTGGGGCATAGTGGTCCACTATGGGGTAAAAGTTTGGGAGATCAACAGGAGTGGACTTTTCCTATTGTCTGAAAATTATTTCAAGACACCTACATTTTACAGTCACCAGAAAACATACAGTGGTGAGATTTTATACCCACTTCACCTTGGGGCCTCCCAACTTTTGATGTAAGGGCCAAGTCAAACCATGAATGACAGGAATCTGCGCAGAACCACAAATAACTCACGGGAGTCCCATCATTCTTTGCTCACATTTAATTTTTATTTTGATTTTTTTTAATGCTGCACAACACAATATTTATTTCATTTGTTTCTTTTATTTCATTTTATTTGTTTGCTGCTGTTGTTTTATTTATTTTTATTGAAAGTCAGAGGGAACTTCTGTGGCCTTTTCTCCTTTTTCTGTAGGCCGCCTTAAGCTTTCTAAATTTGGAACATCTAAGCAAGCTGAAGGGAAAAGGGGGTTTCGCAAAATCACTTGGGGGAAGGGAAAGGTTGCTTTGTTAATCATGCCCTATGGTGGGTGATTAACTGCTTGTACAATTACGTTTCACTTTTAATTAATTGTGCTTAAGGCTTTAATTAAATTTGGGGGTTCCCTTCTTAGAGCAGCTCGTACTGACGAAGGTGCATGCGCTGAATGATGTCACGGCAGTCGTTGAACACACGGCGGATGTTCTCAGTGTCCACAGCGCAGGTGAAGTGAGGGTAGCAGTAGTGACGCCCATCTCCACTGGCAGTGCTGATCCTCTGCGGGTACAAACGCAGGGACTCGTCAGTGACACCCTCGCCAGGAACCACCCTATCACTGATGGGGACACCTACCAGGGACAGCTGTTGGCCAGTCTCTGATGTCATATGAAAACGAAAGCAAAAGGAGGGGTGCAAAGAACTCAAATCCACACTGGATGTGCGTGAACTAAAACCATGGACCTGGGTAGCTGAACCCCTGAAGTAAATTTACATCCATGAGAAAAAGAGGAGGAGCAAGAGAGGAAACTAAAGACAGGCTCAACTCACCAGAAACTCATCTCGAATGAAGTACTTGGCCCGGGTCACGCGTGGGTCCTCTCCGGGCTCGGGAGTAGCTATAAAAAAAAGGGAATATATATTAATGTAATTAAAAAGTCAAGCAGAGCTGGGGTGCTAGCATCATTGTAGCTCCTGAAGTCTTCAAAACCCTGCTTTTTCCATATGAGAATTAATGCAAGTGTGTTTTTCTTGCTTCTCTTACAGATCCTTTATGGTTTGGTGGTGGGAGGGGGATGGCGGCTTTCAGCCCGACTGTTTGAAAAAGAACCACCGCAATGAACAGCCAGCAAAAGAGTGGAAGCCATACACACCATCCTCAGGAGTAGTGTAGCGAGCAAATTCTGGAAAGTAGTCCTCAATCTTCGATTTCCCAGCAAGGACTTTCTCAGCGAGCAGATCTTGCTTGTTGAGGAACAGAATCACAGAGATGGTGCGCAGCCATCTACAAGAAGGGAGGCCGTGTGAATGCCCGGGAGAAGCGCGCTTTTGGCCAGGGGTCTGGAATGCTTGCACAGGGTTCTTTTCTACAAACAGTGCAGACCAGGGCCTCCTGGGCAAGCGCAGGGGGTGGGCGGCCACTCCACAAACCTGTTGTTCCAGATGCTCTTGAAGAGGTTCAGGGCCTCCTGCAGGCGGTTGGTCTGATTGTCCTCCCGGATGACCATGTTGTAGCTGCTGCTGGCCACCACGAAGATGATGGCAGTCACATCTTAACCAAAGAAAGCAAAGCCAAGAGCGTGAGCAGCGACACCGATCCCTAACAACACAGAAGCAAAGCGTTCTTCACCAACAGCCAAGCCCACAGCGTCCTACCGTTGAAGCACTGGATCCACTTGCGGCGTTCATCACGCTGGCCACCCACGTCAAACATGCTGGTGGAGAGGAAGACAGCTGGTTATTCCAGAGGGGCTGGGGTAAATGTCAAGAAACCATGATCTCTGTTATATAAAAAGGTAACAGTGGGCTTACTGGAAGTTGACTTTGTCCACCTGGAACTTGGTCTCGAAGATTCCAGAAGTCAGGACGCGGCAGCGAAGCAGGTCCTAGAACAAAATTGAGGTCAATGGATCTCAGCAAAGCCAATCGAAATAGTAATAATTTCCAATCTAAAGCAAAAGTCTGGGGTAGTTTGGGAAGAGGGCTCAGGGTCCTCTGGTGGTGAAGGGTTTTGCACACCTGGTCGCTCGGCACATAGTCAGCCTGCTTGATCACATCGATCTTGTCCAGGAAGCTGGGAGAAAAAGAAAGGCACATGGGGTGTTCACAGCGTTCACGTTAATTTGCCAACTATTTGTGTCTCTCTACAAGGTCAGGCTCAACGGAAGTGACCGTCCCACAGTTATGCAGCACTAAGTCAATGGCACATTTGCTTGTGTGTTGGTTACATTTATAACTCAAAGCTGATGCCTTAAGAAAGTTAGGCCAAATGGGATTTAAGATCAATAATTTTAGGAATCAGGGAACTCTAGATGCGTCTAGCAGCTAGCCTGCGGCCTCGGTGCAGTGGGGCCACACAAACAGCACAGGACAGTGCTGGGGCTTTGTCTTCATGTTTATTTTTTTCTATTTTTCTTTTTTATTCTATACTTAGCTTGTTTATTCCTGTTGCTTTCTGGTAATATTCTTGATTTTTAAAAGGTTTTATGCATATCAACCAGTAGAGAAAGGACCCCAAAACCAGGCTGACCTATCACAATCTGTGCCATTTGGTAATGCTTGACAAAAACATTTTAATTTTCAAATTTCCTGCCTAAAATGGCAAACAGTTTGAAAATTGTATACCTCTGTATCATTCAGTTAAAAAAATAAATAAATAAAGTGACATTCTTAAAAACATCAAGGACTTTCTCCTCAAGGGCACATGAGATTGTTTTAGTTACTGAGAATCTGTATCCCTTCCTTTTCACTTTTTAAGAATCTCATTGATTAAAGGGAACAAAAGAGGTTGGCACAAAGGGGCCTTCTCGCCCTAGCCATCCTGAACAGGAAACAAACACAAAGTTCTCTTCCGTTCTGTTTGGTCCATGAAATAGAACGCTCCAGATATTAAACTTTTCATTTAAAAAGCATCTTGTTTGTGTTGCCTGACTAGACACACAGGAAAATTTACTTTTGAAAGATTGGGGTAATTTAATTAATACAGAAAATGCTAAAACCAGTTTATTTTTTGGAGGGAGAGGCATGTAGAGATTGGAATTGTTTTAAAGTGGGCTAATGAGAAAAGAAAATCATAAAGAGAGAAAAGTCTGTTTCAAGAAACTGCCTAAGTTTTGTGTTCCCCTCTTCCTTTTTACTAGTTCAGAGTTAGTCTGGCTTAGAGGATATACTAACTTGCCCAATCAGTCTTACATTACAGCACCAGTCCAGAAATAGCTCCCCAGCCGCCCTGGCCTCCAGCATGTTACCATGGCAACAGAACCACAGTTCTATAAATAGATCATCAGCACCAAATCTTGTGAGAGAGACATCTGGAGTGGAGCCAGCCAAACCCCAGCTCAACAAATAAAAATAGGCAGCTTAAGAAATGGGCACGGTACCAGTATCCCAACTTTAACATAAAGGCAGTTCAACAGAAACGTGCCGGCCACGGCAGATGCAGGGCTGTTTGAGCCAGCGGTGAGGGAGGACATTTTAAAGGTTTTAAGCTGCGTTGTTCTCTTTTTCTCTGAGTTTCCTTACAACTTTTCATGATCTATACAAATGGTGCAGTTTTCAGACAAAGTTTCAGGAGTAATTGAGTGTTGCATTAAAAAACCCCAAAAACTTCTAAATGATTTGAGAGAGAAAATGAAACCCAACAGACTTCAACCACCTGGCTAAGCTACTGTTAATTAATGCAGCTGTGACTCCCTGCCCCCCAGCATTCAAAACTGGGATGGTTAAACTCTCCTAATCTTGTACCTGTACTTCACTTCTGACTTGGATCCAAAATACAAAATGCAAACAATTCCAGGATTTCCATTTGTTTTGCGTTACTATAATTAGCGCTTCCAGCTTTTAGTTCGAACTTTTGAGAAAATCAGGGACTTTGTTGAAGAAGGAGTGGGGGCTGGGGGCCACAGGGACCAGCCAAGATGGACTGTTTTTCTGTTCCTTGAAAAAATATACAAATTTGCTTGTATATTAAACTGTGGAATATCTGTGTATGTGGCAACTGAAAATAATCAAAGGAATTTCCTATGGGAAGGCAGGGCTGGGGTTGATAGATTGCACAGACCCTAACATAGGCTTGTATGATTTATAGATAAACAGTATTACCTCTTCCTCCCTCCTGTTTATTCAGGTGGTTTTCACAATCAGTTCCTTGGGCCTGAGGCTACTAAGTAAAGCAATCTTAGCCCTTGGTGAGTCAGCCTGGCACCTTGGTTCTGATTAGTTAATACTTCCTATAGCAAAATCAGTTCCGAGTTTCAGCTACTTGTAATAAGGACAGCTAAAACATCAAACCTCTACTAGACTCCCCTGTCCCGAGTCACAAGACACTCCTACTTCATAATATTAACTGAGACTGCTTTGTGCATTTGTGCAGCATCAACAAACAAAAGATATCTTTACATTTTTGGCTGGGCGCGGTGGCTCACGCCTCTAATTCCAGCACTTTGGGGGGCCAAGGCAGTCAGATCACAAGGTCAGGAGTTCGAGACCAGCCTGGCCAATATGGTGAAACCCCATCTCTACTAAAAATACAAAAATGGGCTGGGTGTGGTGGCGGGCACCTGTAGTCCCAGCTACTCAGGAGGCTGAGGCAGGAGAATCACTTGAACCCAGGAGGCAGAGGTTGCAGTGAGCCAAGACTGCACCACTGCACTCCAGCCTGGGCAACAGAGTGAGACTCCATCTAAATAATAATAATAATAATTATCTTTACATATTTTTAAAATAACCCTGACCACCATATGCTTGCTATATCACGTGCAAGATGAGGGAGGCCATAAACTATTTAAAAGGCAACTTTCTAGCTATGGGGTGTGATGTCCTCTGGGAGAGACCACGGTGGGTGACAGGGAGAGAAGGCAATCCCTGAGGGAACGGTAAGTCAGGTGTTAGGCAACAAGAGTAGCAGCGTGGGCATCAGGTGGAGTTGTGCAATAAAATCTGTTTCGTAAGTTTCCCCCTTCTTCATTTACCAACACACTAATCAGGCGAGCCCACCTTTATGAGTGACTTTGGAGAAAGAGGACTTTCCCACTGCTACTGCAGGCCTTAACCCATCCTCCTTGCAGGTAGTAATTTATTTGAAAATGACCCCACCACGGTACTGTACTGCTTAGGTGTACAGTTTAGGATTTAAAATACACTGACCACTTACCATCCTTGAAATCAAGAGCCGGGGGGAAGGAATAAATAAGGACATGAAATAGAGTTCAAAAGTCAAGACAACACAAAAGCAAACTCTACCTAGAGTCACTCAGATCTAGTAACACTAGGCAGCTACTGGAGTCTCTTACCTGAGAGCAGAAATAGAGCAATCAACAACTACCAACGAGAGAGGAGGCGTAGCTGTCTTCACTGTTCCTCTTTGTTATGTTTTAAAATTACAGCAATAAAATGTAGTATTTTTACATCATTCAAAAGGTGAGAACTGCCCTATTTCTGTAAATGCTTTGGGTCAATTCAATTAATTACTTCCCAGTAATTAGGAATACTATGAAACTCATCATCATCTTGCTCTAACAGACATTCAATGTTTATATAAAATAATGTCCCTGCACTAAGAAAAAAAAAAAAAAAATGCAATTAAGGACTTTATAAAACAATTCAATCAGATTCGAACTTTCTGCCAGTGGGGTAACTGGTTGGCTTCTACGAAAGGAATCATCGACAAGCAGCTTTCCAAGCAGGATCACAGGTTTGCATGTTTTCTTGTGTCTGCCTGTTTTATGTGCCGGTGGGTCGGGTGGGGTTACTTACTACTGGGCGCAGTCAATCAGCTGGTACTCGTTGGAGCGTTCATAGCAGGCACGTACTCCTTCGTCCTCCCACAGAGCCTTGGCATGCTCGTAGAATTCCTGAAAGTGAACACAAGAAAGTTTAGAGAAAGACAAGAACTTGAACTAATCAAGGACACTGTCATTCGAACCCCGAGACCAGAGTTCCCTATGTGACCGACACTTGGTGTGATTCTGAATTTTGAGCCCAATTAATGAATTAATGCTCACAAAGAACTTTAATTCAACACGTTAAACATATTCAAAAGTTCATGCAATTAGCTGCTGGTCTTATTGTGAACTACTGGTTTTGGGTAGTTTCTTTTTGTGTGTGTGGGGGGAATGGGGGGAGCTACTGAGTAATTTAGTTTCTTTACAGAATTGTTTAGGAAGAATATACACTAATCTGTGTTAGGCGAATATGCCAATAAATGGTTCAATGTTGTGACAATAAGAAACTTCATTTGTAGGATGTGCCGGGACTAAATCTTCCTTCTGGGAAAATGTGAATCTTAACAAAAAAAAGTATGATAGGGGACTTGTAGGTGGGAACATAAAAGTTCAGATGTTAGTAGGACTAATGAAAGGTTATTGTTCGGATACATTTTTAATAGGCTGCTGTTTTTCCTATTAAATATGGAATCATAAGAAAGTCAGTGGGTTATATTATACATACTGTGTTTACTGCTTTAATTTTTTTCAAAATGATGCTATTTAAAAAAATTTAGCTATCCATACTAACTAAATACTACTAATTTCTCTGCTAATGTAAGTTTGCAGCCAAGTCGATCTAAAATATACAAACACAAATTCCCACGAAAGCCTGACAAAAGGCAACAATAACTCATTGTTTTAGCTGTAGACAAGTCTCTTCCTTGTGGGCCTTACAAACGCATACATCTTTCTATCTCATTTCCCATTCCCCGCTTATAAGCCATTCTCCCCACGAAGGGGCCTAAACATATATGCTTGGGCTTGAATGGTTTTTTGTTCCCTAAAAGTAGTTCTTTAGGGAGCCAACAGTGTCGTGCATCCAGAGGAAAGTCTTTTCCATATGTTCTATTTCATGATTATTTTTGAGTTATAATTTAGATATATTTCATTTTTTTAAATAATGAGAAAAGATTTCATTTGCCCCGAGACAAGGACTGACTTTAGAAAAACTCTTAATCAATGTTAAAAGGTCACCTGTTTAAAATGAGACTGTCTTCCATTTGGCACTTCACTGAGGCATCCCAAGGTACACCTTAGGGCACTTCCAGTGGAGTAAATGGACAATTAGTATTTGTGTGCCATATTTAAAATAGTTTTGTTTGTCCTAAGAAGTGAATGAGGGAATAATTAAGCCTGCCGTAGCTCAGAACTTTTTTCTTGCCCACATGCAGGGCTGTCACTGACGTTCCTATAGGAACACTGTGCTCAGGTGGGCGGGGCTAAGGCCACACAAGTTGGGGTGTAGCTTACGGGAGGGAAGTCAAAGTCAGGCACGTTCATCACACTCAGAATGTAGTCCACTCTGAACTGGTTCTCGGGGTTGGCCAGCTCCACAGGGGGCACCAGGTTGCTCATGGCGGCCACAATGGTCTGAAAATGATTTAGCAGAGCGGTCAGGGAACAGCACTGGATGGGAGGGGCTACAAGACAGAAAGCACAAGGAGCCAGAACGTACTTCGATTGCCTCTTTCAGGTTGTTTTTGATGTCCTGCACTTTGGTTGCCTTCTCACTGCAGTGGAATTGAAAAGAAAAGAAAATCATATTGCACCACGTCAGTTAAGAGTACTGCTTTCATAAAGATATCCCGACTAAAAAGCATAGTATTCTGTTCTTCAAGGAGTTGTGGGCTCAGATCTGTACAAAGATTGGAGGTAGCTGAATAAACGTGGTTGCAAATTATAACCTCCCAAATGTGTCCTGAGGACATGCCCAATCGGGCAGATTAGCAAATTGCCTGAACAATCTTGACTGTACCAGAAGTTGCACGCAGCTCATTTAATCTTTCATGGGTTGGAAACCCCCACACTACATACTAACACTTCCTAAAGGCTTCTCCTGGTCTTATCAGCATCTGGGTAAGGGTGAGGCTGGAGTGATAGGTCACTCTGAGGTTGGGGTAGAGCAAAACAGTCCCATGGTTTGACTTGGAATTCACTCAGTTGCTAGATGAGCATAGTGAGAGAACCAGTGAGCACAGGTGGTGGTGATTCTAACAGTTCATTACAGGAGTCTGGGCACGATGGCTCATGCCTGTAATCCCAGCACTTTGGGAGCCTGAGGTGGGCAGACTGCCTGAGGTCAGGAGTTCGAGACCAGTCTGGCCAACATGGTGAAACCTCATCTCTACTAAAAACATAAAAAAATTAGCTGGGCGTGGTGGCATGTGTCTGTAATCCCAGCTACTCGGGAGGCAGAGGTTGCAGTGAGCCAGGATGGGGCCACTGAACTCCAGCCAGCGTGAGACTCTATCAAAAAAAAAAAAGAAAAAGGCATATGTGCGATGCTCCAGGCACCCCGGCTAGCAGCAATGAAATTTCTAGTTCATGATGTTAGTACATGTTGGTCCATGTGCAATAGGAATCAAGTAAGATTCCACCCCCTAGAAGGCCTTATAATCTAAGGGGAAGGGGGTCAGATCCCGCTGGCAAGTAGAGGTTGAAGGTGTTGTAGCTTTTCATTGACTTTAACTCAGCCACATGGGACGGCCTGTGTGGTCTTTACGGAATTATCTATATTCAGGGTTACTTGTCCCACAGGTAAAGGCCACACCCTTTGGCTTCTGGGGACCACAAGAGAATGTTAATTTTTGTACCAGATTACACTGATCCAAATACTGTTATGTTTTTCAGAAACTAGCCTTCATTAGAAGCACAGCCAGGGAAGGTTCTCGAGTTTATGTTTTCAGGGGGCAAGAAAAGGCCTCTTGTGTGGAGTATGTATCTCATCAGGTCTATAGCCCAAAAATGGAACAAGCACACACAGCACACCTGCTGTACCTGTCAGGCCCTGGGAGGTGAGGGCATCGTCATGCAGAAAAAAGGTGCTACGGTCCTGCTCCTCTGATGGGGAAACTGAGGCTGAGAGGGGTAAGTCTTGAGTCACGGAGGCAGAAACCAATGGGGGTGGGATATAGAGGGGACAGAGTATCTTTTTCATGGTGTGTGTGTGTGTGTCTGTGTATATACACACTCATACATACACATATATATATTGATCTTTTGAGATTCCCAGTTTTTGAAGCATTCACTTGGCTGATTCACCAATTCATAGAATGGAGGTAGAAATTAAACATATAATCCCTCCAGACTAGAACAGGACAAAGTTAAGGCAGAGGAAAGGCGAAGGGAGGTTAATTAGCAAGAGCAGACTGGGTGGTCAGTGGAGCAGCAGGGGCGGGCCGGGGGTGGAGGGACTGGAATGGACGGTGGGGCCAAGTGCACGCCTGTCGACAGGCCTTCCACAAATCATTTGGTCTTTCCTTTCTCAAAGAATTATACTTGCAAATTTATTCTTTCTGAATAAACGTCTGTGTACTTCTGGGCCTTCACCTGCTGAAGGATCCCATCTCGCCCCTTTCCTACGTGAAGCCTCTTTCACAGGTCTCTGCACCACTGCTCTTCTACATTGAAGAGCTGATGAAGTTCAGAGGGGTCATGCTCATTAGTGGTGGGGGGTGTCTGGGGTTGGGGTGGAGGACAGATGTTGCCAGGAATCCCCTCAGGGCCATTTGAGTAAAAGTGCTGCAGGTCCAGAGAACCTCAGAAACACAGATGACAGGGAGGTGAGCTTCAGGTCTTGTGCACAAATCTGACATCTGATTCTGGCCCCCAGACTCCTAAAGCAACCACCTTCAAGTGAAAGGGAGTGAGTCCTGACCGTTCTGTGGGACTGTCTGCTTTGTGTGTGCAGAATCAAAGCTCATGTCTGAAATTAAGAATTTCCAGCCTTGATATTAGTCTAACATCAATTATTTAGATGTTAGAAATTAAAAGGATTTGTGTTTGATGGTCCCCAATGTTCACTTTTGAATTCAGAATTTACCTAAAACCCCCTAGGACAAATCTATTCCCATTCATTAAAAGCAGGCTCCATTTCATAGGTAATGAAAGCTATGAACCTTTGGTTTTGAGGTTCCACAATAGTAAAATTAGATACATTCGGGTACTAAATATCCAAATCTGCATACAGCAAGAGAAAAGTATTTCCAGAAACAAGTTTCTTTCATTCAGTTTGATATTTTGGTCTAAGCAGTAGTATGATAATTGGAAAACTTCCCGTCTTAAAATACGGATATTTTGAGAACGTGTTCAGTATTCATCTACGTATGTGAATAGGTGTGGGAGTATATCAAGTATAAAACAGCTAAAATAGAAATCTAAAATCTAATTCGGGTGTGTAATACTAAAACATAAAATTCTTCCATTGAAGCAATTACTATGTAGATGGAGATATTATACTGGGGGTTGGCAGGTTTATCATCACTTTTACTATTGCTTAATGAATTTAACGTTGATTGTGAAATTCAGAGAAAATTCCTTAGATGTCTTTAAACTACTCAACAAAGGCAAAACATATGCCATTAGCTAGAATTCTGATTCGCTACAAAATTGGGACTAAGGCTGGAAGTACTTTTAGGGTCTTGGTGCCTCCTCCTCCCCCTTCTATGTATAAAGCAGATGGGCTGCGTTCAGTTTTTAAGAGCTCCTCCCCTCCCCTGCTTCAGCTAACTAAGTGGTGGGGGAGGCTATTCAGGTCTCCACCTTATCCTTGTGCTTTGGTAGGAAAAGACAGACAAAGGAAGACAGAAGACAGACGCGAGATACAGGGATTGCTGAAACATGCAGAGAATTTTTATTTCTCACGAATGTTAATACTTATATTGACTTGCAGAACAGAGTCAGAGAGATGTGCAGGCCAAGGTATTAGTAGGGTTCAAGGGTTTAGCACGACATCTAGTACACAGTAGGTTGCTCACTAAGGACTTGTCATATTTTGCTCAAATGCCAACTTTTGGTACAGTAGATTGTCAATTAGTCATTTCTTATAGAGATGCCTTTTTGGATAGTTGCCACACTACATTTCTGCCAATTAAGGATTTCAGTCCATTTTTCGTTTTTTCAATCATCGTTTAAGGTAAGGTAGTAGGGGCCCCATCCCCCCTCCCCCCTCAGACAACAGAATAGTATTCTTATTAGAAGTTCCTAAGACCGAGCAATTCCAGCATGCAAATTGTGATAGGACATAGCCGGGAAGATGAGAAACTGTAGCCATCATCTAGGGATAATATATTCTAAAAGAAACAGATGAACAAACATGTGTCAGTTACTTTGTCCCCAGACCCCAAGATTTTTGCCCCTCCCCTCCCCGGCCACAGAAGCTGTTTCTTTGAGATGCCCTAAACTAAGTCAGTGGTTCTGGATGTTCTCATGAAAAAGAGCCACTCCACCGCTGCATGCGAAACACGCAGCAGAGCTAGAGCGGTTACCTGGCATGCGTGTGTGTGCGCGCGGCGCGTGTGGCTGTGTGTGCGTGTGCGTGTGTGTGCGTGTCTGTGTATGCATGTGCATGTGTGTGCGTGTGTGTATGTGTGATGGGTGTGGGGATGCAGGAAGCAAAGAAAAAATAATTTGATGATGAATGGAAAAATAAAAGATGCCATCATGAATTTCCTTATGTACTAGCTAACGTAAAGTGCCTTAGATTCAAATAAATTTGATCATTTTTAAAAGGCCAGAGGCTTTTCAAGATGATTCTTAACGACCTGCTGCAAGGTACCAAGGCATTTTTCAAAATTAAAGACGGTGCAGCACTGCATATTTTAATAAAGGAAAAAAATTTTGTTTCAAAGAGGTCTGAAATTTTAAAATCAGACCAACCAGTGGGTAGATGGAATTTAGTAGATAGTTTTAAAAACAAGTAGCTGGTTCAAATGGAGAGCTGGGGGAAAATAGAAACCATATGGAAAAACATCAATTCTCAAAATCCTAAATTGATCGTCTAAAGCTGAAATCTATAACTTTCCCCCAGCTGGATCTCATTCTACTTTAAGCATGGCCAAAAAAATTATGTTACGCACTTTACTTGCTCCAAAATGTCAGGAAATTGTGTGTTATTTGCAAATGCATGCCAATATGGCTGATGGTCCTTTAAATGACTTTTATTTTCTTCCCGGGTCTCTGGCCTCAGTTTCCCAGTATGATCTTCATGTTTGTTTTGTTTGTTAAAAAATTTTTCTGTTTTTGAATGTGCCTACCCATCGCTGTTGCTCCTTGCAGCCTGCGGGTCCTCTTCGCCGCCCCTTTTAAAGAGAGATTGAAAGCTCACCTAATCTGCAAGGCACCGCAATTTCACACAAACCCCACACAGTCTCTCTACATTCCTAAACAATCAGCCAAGAGCAAAAGCAACAATTCGCGCGCCATCCATCCTCCCGTTAATTCTGAGGTCGCCTTTCTGGCTAAATTGGAACGTCCACTGAGACTGCAGGCCATGGGGGAAGAATCCTACACGTTTGCTGCAGTATTAACAGAGCTCTCTGGAGACTCTGGTCGGACACAGGAGGGATGGATAATTATTTTCTTGTGCTTTCACTAAACGTACATGCATTAGGGAGCTAAAGCAGTGATTTATCTCACAATTCTTCTGAGAATGTGGCAGCGCATAAGGCTCCTAATTCTCCCAGGTCAGAATCTTCCCAGTGTTGTAACTTAAGGCACAAAGGCATAGACGGGGGAGATTTCTGCCCAGGATTTCCTGCAAAACTAATGACCTCACTTCTTGCAGTGGAAGGAAACTACCTATAAAATGGTTTTATTTATAAATAATTGTTCCCCATAAATTGTCATTAAACTATGTCTGGACTGTGATACAGCAAAAAAATAAAAATAAAAAAAAATTAAAAGAAAAAAAGCCCACCCACTACCACCATAGAAAAAAGAAAAAGAAGAAAAAAAAAAAAACCCCAAACCCAATCTTCATAAACAGTAGGAATTCCTCCTTGAAGGCCGAAGGGCAGCCTTCTACAGTTTGGTAATTGATCAGCTTACTTCAACCAATGTTAATGGTGTTTATATTTTGGTTTTGTTTTGTTCCTGGCACTAAATGTAAGAAAAAGAGTTAGCTTTGAGTTAGAAAATCCACATCCAAACTCCGTATTTCTGAAGGTCAAATCAATATTATCTTACTCTTAAAAATTTAATCGGTATGGCAGCCCGCAGAGAGTTAAGGCAAATTTAATAGCTCAGCAGAGCCCTAACAAAACGCAAGATCAGGGAGGAAAAACCCTGTACCACACAGACCACCCTTTAGGGACAGATCTCACTGTGTCACAGGGAATTCCTAGTTAAGAAGGAAATAGCTTTTGTTGCAATACCGCAGTGAGGAAAAAGAAAAAAGGAGGCAGTTGGATGAGATAAAAATAAGGTATCTAGGCTCCCATGAGGAATACCCCTGCAAACCCTTTCACAGGCTAAATTTAACATATCTATGCCCTTGTCTGCAGAGAAGGCAAACTGGGAATGTTGCTTCCTCTTTCCAAAAAGAAAACAGAAAAGAGAAGTTCTGGTTTAAAACCCTTGCCTGGTGTTATAGGCTGGCTCACTTAGGGAGGAGAATCCTTTCTATAAAAATTTTTAAATTTTAGGGCAATCTGTAGGGTAATGAAGCTGTTAGTAATTTATTTCAAAGGTGACTTAGCTTCTACTCGACTCAAAATAAGGTAAATAGTGGCTGCTGCATCTTTGAAAAATGCTAGCCATGTCCAGTTTTAATGAAAATATTTATCTAGAGGATACGTGGTCAAATTATTTTTGCTTAACTACTCTCATGAAGTACTCCTGCAAGCTGCAGGAGGGAAATTTATGCAAGATTTTTCTTCAAATGACAAAATTCATGGTTGGAAGTCTGTCTCCGGGTTTTTATTTATGGTCAGGATGGCAGTCTCCGTTGGCAGGGCTTTATCGAGGGGTGTGTCAAGAATTAAGAATTTCAGAATTGCTTGGTGACAAGTGATGCTAACTTACTCAATAGCACATATGTGCATGTTGATAAGCCACTGAGAGTCATAATCAGTTGAGTAAAGAAGCCCATCCTTCTGCATCCCAACCAATCCTTCTGAATTCAGGGTTAAAGTAGAAAAAGCATCCTAAACTAACATGACTATTTGTATGGGTGATGTCATCCTCCTCTAAACAATTATTTGATCTAACAAATTCTAGAATTCACCATAAGGAGCTGCCTGCCTTGCTCTGAAAGGTGAAAAAGTTCACGTTCGTTTCCCGGATGCTTAGTGACTAGTAAAGGTGTTTTTTTTTGGGGGGGGGGGAGCGTGGGGGTGGGCAGGCATTGGTATAATTAAATGCTACCGCCTTGTCTCCATCTCCCCTTTTGAAATGGAAGCCAAAGCAACTCAAGGTTAAATTTTCAATTGAATCCAGGTTTAAGAAAGGGAACAGGACTAGGCTAACCAGCTAGTAATTACAAACTAGTGCCTTCAGGTGCTTGAAATCTAGTGAGCTTAACGCTCTCACACCAGTGAAAATAGACTGGTCAACTTAGTTTTTTCTGTTTTTTACACACTTTGTCACATGAGAACGATGGGCAGGCCCCAATCTGGGGTCTTGGGGAGAAAAGCAAGTTCCCCGATTTATTGAATGCTCCCTGTTTGCATTCCTCATGCCAGGCAGGGCTTCCTAACTTGTGTCGCAGGTCTAACATAAAGTCTCTCCCGTGTAATCTTCATTCCCGCTACCGGACTGCCACACTGCACTATACCAGGATACCTGGGAGGACTTTTCAAAGGCAAAAATGCCCCTCAGTGAGGCTGGGAGTGCCTAACTCCCAGGCTTTCCATCCTTTACATAAAAGTTCCCTTTTCTTTTCCTCAGGCAGGGGTACTGATTTGCTTTTTGTTTTAAAGAGAAACAATGATTTGCTCATAATGGTAATTTAAAGGGGGACAAAAAAAAATTACAAACTATAAACACGGGCTGCCACTTCCAAATCTGTTTCTGGTGAGAATATTATGGAAACGATGTTTCCTAAAACATCCTGTGTTGGTTCATTACATTGAAATCTGTGTGGGGTGGGGTGGGGTGAATCTGCAGTGACCAGCATGGGCAGGACAAGGGGGCGGCCAAAGCCACATTGAAGACACTGCAGTGATGTCTGGAGGCTGTGGCAGGGACCTGGCCCAGAGAGGGGCTGTCACGGGGCCAAGTGCTGTCAAGCATCCCCCGCAACCAGGCATGATTTTCTTGGGATAGGGAGATGTTTGTCACAAACACTGGTGCTTTCATCAGTAGTATTTGCTGCACCAAAGACCCAAGGGGGGGGACCCTAAAGAGCCCTTCCCAGGATTTTCTAATATGTAAATCCAGAAAAATTAAGTGAAAACTGGCTGCCCAGCCCCCAAAGCCTACCTATACTTCCTAAAGGTTAGTATAAAGTCTGTTCCTCTTACTTGGTGCCCCTGCACAGATTTGACACTTACTCTCCATTAAACCCATTAACATGCAGGATCCTCATCTGCTTCACAATGGTGCTTTTACCAGATTCTCCAGCACCTAGAAAACGAAAGTAAGTCTCAGGTTATGAAGGAGGCATTTTAACACTTTGGGCAGGGAGGACCTGCTGCTGTTGTTTTGTTTTTCCATAGAAGCAACACACAAAAAACCAAACACAAAATCATAGACTTGCAACTTTTCTTGACATTTCGACGCAGAGAAAAGGAAATCAATGTCCAACTCAGTGTCTACCTGCAGTATTTCACCACCAAAATAACAAACAAGAATTCAGGGTTTGCTGGTTTTCGTTTTTTTCTTTTGATTGTTTAAAAAATTGTGGGGTGGTGATGGAAAGGGGCAAAGAGAAGGAATGACGCAATTTTGTCATTTGCGGGGTAAACAAGAAAATTGAAGTTAAAACTGTGAAACTGAATCCCTGATACATGAACATTCACACATAAACGTATCTAGACACACAATTCGTTGTCAGATGTTTCATGGTTAAAATACCCGGGATTCCCAACAATGCCCAGACGCTGCAGTCTCTTCCACATCACGTAGCGATGCAGCACTTTCCTTCTAAACATTTTCACAACGCAGCTTCTTTCTGTGCAGGTTTCCTACCCCTTGGGCTACTTAAAAATCCACCCCTAAAACTGCATTACATTTTATCCACTTAGCCATACTCCTCTTTCCTCACAAACTATATCTTTCTAAAGATAAATTCCCTCTGGGTACAACTATGTTGCTGAGGAAAAGGGGAGACCATCAATTATCTGTCATCTTCTGGAAAAACCACACTTTAATATCAAATACGGTTCTTGAGACCCTATTAGCATTAGGTAAACTGTAACCGTAAAAAGTAATACAAGAACAAAACTTTAATCAAAAGGAAAACTATCCCTGGGAACTACTGAATTTGAAAGATTCCAAGCCCTTCCCAACTCAAAGAGTAGAAACACATGCCTCCATTTTAAATCATCTGTCATTTGTAAAAATACATATATGTTTCATGGAAAAAACACATTTCCATCAAGCTAGAGGGAGGATGGCTATTTTGCATCTTCTTTTTTGCGATGCACATTCTCCAACAGATCATCTATGTGTGAATATTTTGCCCTCCTTCCACACAAATCTGTTTGTTTTCACCCCTTTTTCTTTTTAACTTTTAATTGTATTGTTTTGTTTTAATGCCCAGATAGCAGAGCATTCCTCCTTCACTTGCCTTCTCACAAGCCCATAATCAGTATCTGTAAAAGTTAAAATTAGTTTCTATGGAAAACATTGATTTCAAAGCAAACACTATCTTAATGAGCCTAACTTTGGTAAATTAAAAATATAAATGGCACTATTAAGAGAGGCCATGAAGAGAATACGTAATATTTAGCAGGATCGCTAATATTCTAATTTCAGAAGTGCTAAACTGTGTAACAGTTACAGGACGTATCTTTTACAGGCAAAAACAGATCCGTGCCTCAGTTTCCACATTCATGAAATGTGGCTGAAAAATTATTTTAAGATCATTGTAAGTTCTCTAATTCACTTAATTTTTATGTCATTAAGATAGAGTAAAAAGAGGATTTGGGGCATTATTAGGTTTCCTCTTTTGGGGGGAGGCATTATTTGGTGAGAATCACCATTGAAAAATGCAAAATGTTGTGTCACTGGCTTAAGCTGCGGATTCCTAGGCCAGAGGCAATCAATACATCATGATGTAATGTAGTCATATAGACTAGGACATTTAGATTAGCCCCTGTGACGCAAGGTGTGTTCTGAGTAACAGTCTCAAATTAAGTGGAGACTTTGTGATCACAGCACAAAAGGTGTTGGAAATTTAAGATACCATTAGCATCACACTTGACTTAAATTAGTATTCAGATAGCATTCACAGAAAAGATTCTAGACTTTTCCAGATTTATACTTTGAAATCAAGTTATACACATAATATCCCAACAGCATAATTCTGCCTTTAAAAGTTTTAGACAAGACAGCAACACATGTACCATTTAATTACTGAAATTGCAAATGCATAAACATCAAAGACACTTATTTTCACTTAATTAGTATTTTTCTTCTTTTATAAATCTGGACCCAGGAGAACAAAGTCATGACCTATCCAAAAAGAGCAAAGCAAAAGCCACCAAAGGAAAAAAACAACAACAAAAAACGGCCTTTTATATTTTCTTCTTTCTACTCAAGCTGTTTTGTTGAAATGTGACCACGAACTAGGTCTTAACCTAGCAAATTCACAAATTTATTCAGATAGCCAAATTATCAAGGAAGTGGAAAACTTCCATTTTTAATTAATGCTGTGTAATTCTTTTGGTCATTTAAAATTTTTTTCCCCCCAAAACAGCACCTTAAGGAAAAAAAAAGGAGGAAAGGCCATCTCCTTATAACCTTTTTTAATTTAATTTTATTTTTTTGCCAGAGGAAAAATCGCAATCAAAAAAAAAAAAGAAAAACCCAAAACCAAACAAATAAATATCATTTCATAAACAACTAATTAATGTCTTTTTATCTCTTCCCACCTGGAGGAAGTCTTCTCCTTACAGCACTCTCAATCCCCCCTCCCACCTTGAAAAGGACAACCCCCCCCAAAAAAAACCACGCCATTTCCAGACCAAGAAGCCATTTACAGACAAATGTCATTCTCCAGTTTTATCTGATTTGTGAATGCCTTTGTTTTTTCTTTTCACAAAGCACTCTCAATGTGGCCAGCCAGCAGAAAAATGTGTTTTTTAATGGTTTATTAAAATAGTGTTGGGGGGGCGCTGGTGGTGGTGGGGGGGGCAGCTGCTACAATTAATTCTCCGCTCTGCTTTTGAAAAAGCCTGCAAGTCTGGAAGGGGAAAAAAAGGTCATACTGTAAAATGACGTGTCATTTGGCTTCACTGGGCACTTCTCGTACTAACTCTATCCATTTTTTGGTGGTGGGGGGTGGTCTTATTTTATTTGACTCTCCTTCTCCTCCTTCCACCGCCCGGCCTGGCCCGGGACACGTCTGC